CTGCTGGTCTCTTGATAAAAATGTGATTGCCTAAAAGTTTTGACTTCAAATTTTGGTAAAGATGATACCAAAATCCAAACATTAATAGTGCATTTGTAAATTGAATATTTAATATCAYATATGGAATTTTCTTTGTAAAAATGCAGTTAATTTTTGGCACTTTTTGAAGGGATATGCAAAAGCAAACTGTAGGTTGATTAAGTTATTTACAGATTCATTCAAATTATCAAGCATGTCTTAATCAAATGTGTTTTTTAATCKGTTGTGTAGGTCTATATTAAAAACATCCAGGAGTCCTGTTTTGGTAAGTGAACATTATCAGCCTCAATGTACTCTATAAATAACAATACTACTAAATAAAATCTTTGCACCATCTTTATTCTCATTTATCCAAACCCACATTTTGCATTCATGTACATCTTTCTTAGTAGAAAAAAGCTGAACAGCAAAAGTAGCCAAAATGTGATGCTAAATGACATTTAATTGCTATTTATATAACTAGCTTATAGAACAGAACCCAATGTTTTTACTAACTGCATGCAAACTAACTACTGGTTATGGATTTATCAATAATCCAGTTTMGAATTCTCCAATGYTCTGTGTTAGCCTCATTTGTGCGCAAAATATTCCTAACTGTGAGAATAAAAGTGTGAGATTTCAAATCAATCAATTGTTTTTCATTTCAAATTCCATGCGTTTTCTCGGCCTATCAATGAAACAAAAGAATATGTTACTTYGTTTTGAGGCTAACACAGAGCAAACCAGAACTTGAAATTGGAGTATTATTTTGGTTGTTGTTTTTCTAAGACTAGCACTTTGCCCACTGGTTACGGCACCCTTTGCTACTATGTAAAAAAAAATCTAAAATATGACCGCATTGAATGCTGGTTGGCTGTAGCCCTTTAAAATAAGGAGGTACTATTACAAAAAGCAAAAATATTGTAAAAGATGCTGATATATCACATAATAAAACATAAACATTTATTTCAAAGGCAACATCCAGTCCTCTAAGCAGCAAAGCAAACCAACGAAGAGATACACTCCAATGGTCTGAATCAAGTTGCCCTGATTTCTCACCGATCAAAATCAGTCCACTCAATAGACAAAAACAGTCCCAGTTTCTTGACTCTCCAGCACGAGTTGCAAGAAACTCACCTGCTAAAATCCTCGAGTCGTCAGGGATAGAGATGGATTTGTTGATATTTCCTGATATTTCACCGATTAAGGATAGTCCCGGAATAAATATTGAAGGTAAGGGGATCGATGATCAAATTTTGCTCAAGCTTAACGACCACTGATCGTTGGGCTCCCTGTGTTCCTATTAAACAAACTCGTCCGTTGCTTCTCCGTTGCTGTGGTCACTGAACATTTTCCTATTTTCGGTAAGCAAAAGTGTTACTTTATCGTTCAGATGTTAACGATTAAGCTCTCTTTATGAAGGTTAAAGTTACATTTTCTCTCCATACTTAAAGTCGTTGTAATTTTATTGCGTGAAAAGTTTGCATGATTTTTGACTTCCATATTGCGTATCACCGAACACTRCAGACACCTCGAGACAAAAGATTGATATCTCTGATTTTCTTTTTTTTCTCTCTTTTGCTCGCCTCTTTTTTTCATAAAACTTTCAAGTTTTAAATTAGCAAGTGGTGTCTGGGAAAAGATTCAGTACACACAGTCTTGAATACCCAATTTCGATTCGTAATAATTGATTTTCTATTTTCACATTTCCCGAAGCAGAGAACAGTATGAGCACCACCGAAGAAAACGAACAGCTCGAGTCTGACATGCTTCAAAGCACAGAGAATATAGACGAAGAAGACGACAGTGATGATGAAAAACCAGCCAAGATCACTATGGAAGATTTAGCGCTTCATGATAACAGTGACGAGACCGAGGAAGATTTACACAAAGAAGACATTGGCAGTGTTAGCAGTGATGATAACGACGATAAGCCCCCTTGTGTAACTATGGAAGACTTGTCAACGCCAAATGATACAAATAATAGCTTACCTCCAAACCTAACAACAGATGATCTTTCAATTCCTGCAGAAAGAGAAAAACAGTCTGCAGACACTACCGAAAATGAAGCAATGGACATTAGTCTGATAGCTAACCCCCCTAGCATCACACGTCAAGAGATAGCCCCSTCTGAAACTAGTRMATAYAATAGGAACRCATATACTCCRAGTCAGCACTACAGTGAATTTGATGAAGACCTAGTAATGGTCAAAGCTGCTGCGGCAATAAGGAGGGCYAATCGACTTAATAAAGATAATTATTATACCAGTAATAACTATTACGAACTTCCAAGTAGTTCAGACTTTTCAGTGTCACATATGAATATGTCYGAGTTACCATGGCAACCAGTCAATATGTCGACTCCTGTTAATGGTCYGACAAGAGCAAGGGTTTACGGTAGCTCAATTGATAATGATTATAGTAGTACAGGATGGTGTGACAGCRGGGTCCATAATGGGACCAAGAGACTATCCCCGGTTATGGAAGACGTGTTAAGAAGACAAGGTGTTTTAAAAGCAACTTTGAGAGAAGGTGAGAAAACACAGAGTGCATTAGGTRGTTTTGATGATTACCWRTAAATTAATTTTAGTGATGCAAATGATTAATTGATATAGACACCTTACATTATTTTTTCCAATTCGATTCAATTCAGATCACCGATCCCTTCTTCACATAGATTAATCACCACACAATGAGCARTTTTCTCAGTGGAATTGAAACTGTCCGAGCAACAAACACAAAATCGAATGTTTTTACTAAATAATTCATTAGCTTTTCCTGATGAAAATGTAAAAAGAAAACATATAACACAAGGCAAGTTCGTACATATCACAGCAATCRKTATCTTTCCCATKCTCTATATTGAAGGGATATTTTTTCTTGTCCACAAAAATAGCAACAGTAACTAGGWCAATACAGCCTTTTGCAAAAATTATGAGAATTGTSGAAATATCTAAATATCATAATATCGAGTGCATGATGGGTAATCCCRGGCSATGCCCTTAGTCCCTTGTCTTTGTAGTTTAGTTTTTTTTTGGCAACTGACATATCTGTAGTTCTGAACATTTTCTTGATGTCAACAATGAATTATTCTAGCAAACCCGAGTGTTCCGGACAATATATGGATATGGATATTATGATATTTAGATATTTTGACAATTCTCATAATTTTTGCAAAAGGCTGGAAATCAGATCCATGATTACTATGAACTATCACTCATACTATAAATTCTGTTATTTCTCCATGTTTACAATTTTTTTTAAAATTTACATCTATTTTCCCCATTGATACCATGCTGATATTCCAGTTCAAAGTGACAGTTGGATGAAAACAGTATCACCACCGAATCACACGTCCAGGAAATGGAGAACACCAAGGAGTTAYCCCTTGTCAAACACAGAGAGAAAGGCATTGTATGGAAGACCATCTAGAGTACCAGAGTATAYTGACAGCTTTAGTCCACAGCTTTATAACAATGATATGTTAAGATATGAATCAAAAAGGTATGTAATTTCAAATTACAAGGTATTGTCAATGGTATTTTAGAGCGGATTTCGTATGAGTGGGACACCGTTACCGCACGGTTACCGTACAGTTACCGCACCTGGCCTGCACAATTTTGGTGAACCAATGGGGCACTAGAATTTGCAATGGTTACAGTACAATTACGGTCACAGTACAGTACCGTCCGTTTCCCACTCATACGAAATCCCCTCTATAATTAGTTTTACAGCTGTAAAGACTGAACTTCTAGAGTGCAATCCACATAATAAGATTTAGGTATCTAGACTTAACTAAGAATTCAGTGAGGCATAAACAAAGACAATTGGCATTGTGTTCATACCCCAGTGAGTTCTTAGTTAGTTGACAACTAAATCTTATTAGCTGTTGATTGTTAGAATTCTTTCACACTTTTTCGATGTGCACTTGATTGATTGATTGATTGATTGACTGGTTGACTGACTGACTGACTGACTGACTGACTGACTGACTGAGTGAGTGAGTGAGTGAGTGAGTGAGTGAGTGAGTGAGTGAGTGATTGACTGATTGATTGATTGATTGATTGATTGATTGATTGATTGATTGTTGGGTTTTGTTTTATTTGATTATTCATCACATCAGAGATTTTATGTGGGCTAGTCTGGTTCCCATGAACCCTTCAAAACCTGTACTTTGATTGCTCCTTAGTACTGAACCCCCATTGTTAGGCTAGCTTTTGTTATATTGTTTGAAAGAGCATCTATTGCTTGTTCATTGTTTTCTCAGCCAATCACAAGATTTGTTCCAACCTGTCGATGATCACCTCAAAGGACATCTCATTTGCAAAACATACAAATTTAAAATGTCAAATACATGTTTGCAACACCTGTGTTTTACAGTCGAACAGAATGTGCTCCAAATACTTCCCCCCAAAAAGTATTATTTTTGTTTATATCGACAGATTATCGTGGCCACCCGTCAGGTCCATGCCGTTACGAGCCTCAACCAGACCCCTCTCCCCCACATACAAAGTTTACAGTACACAACCAGAGGGATCTGTCTCCAGAATGCCTATACCACCAGTCTACACAAGCAATAGCATGGACAGTGGATTTGATGAATGGAAGAAAACAATTAATCGATATGAAAGATCCATGNTTTCGACAGGGCTCCTTCAACGGTGTGCAAATACTTCAGGAGCTTCAAGAGGTGGCGAGCTTGGGCTGTGCACTATGGTCTATGTCCGTTACCAGCTTCTGGTTCAGATGTTGCCTTGTACCTGAGTGATCTTGTTCGTGGGGATACATCCCCTTCCCCCATTGTCTCTGCTGTTTATGGTATCTCTTGGGCGCATAAGAAAGCTTTGCTTCCTGATCCTTGTCAACACCCTCTAGTATTGCAGGTTTGTGATGCTAGTAAAAGGCTTCTGGGCCGTCCAGTTGTCAAAAAGGAAATTCTCGAAGTCCGACATGTCAAATCCATTGTGGATAAGTTTGCTCAGTTAGGAGCTAGTCTTTCAGACCTCCAAGTTGCCGTGCTCATTGTGGTAGGTTTTGCGGGTTTTCTTCGCTGGAGCGACCTTAGTGTCATCAAAGTGGAGGATGTGGTCTTCTATGACTCACACATGGATGTTGTGTTGCCAAAGCGTAAGAATGACCAGCGTAGAAGTGGTAGTGCTATTAGTATAGCAAGTACAGGGTCTGTATATTGTCCTGTCTCACTTACAAGGAGATTTATTTTACGTGCTGGTCTGCTATCCGGACCACTTTTTCGCGAGTGTGTATCTCGTGGGGTTGTTAAATCTTTGTCGTCAAAGGCTCTTAGTTATGCATCAGCCAGGTCCCAGGTCCTTTCTGCCTTCACTGCTATTGGTTTGGATGCAAAGAAGTTTGGGCTTCATAGCCTCAGAGCTGGAGGTGCTTCTGCGGCAGCCAGAGCTGGAATTCCAGGGAGGCTGATTTCCTCACATGGGGGCTGGAAGTCAGATGTCTCGCGCAATGGATACATCAAGGATTGCAAGGATTCAATTCTGGCAGTATCAAAGTCCTTGAAGCTGTAGCCGTTTTTCTATGCTTTCGCCTTGGTGTTTGTGGGCTTAGACCGCTCACCGCATACCTTGTGTCTGTTTTATGAACTATGGGACGTAAGAGTACAAGGAAATGTATTTCTCTTGTAACGGTTACGAACGTAGTGAGTGTGAGTGGAGAGAGAAATAATTTCCTTAGGGACGGAGGACTGGACACTAGTGCACGTGCTTGTATGCTAATTAGGATGTTGTTTATAAGGTCAAGTTGAAATTAATTCAATCATTGTGGTCTAAGTTCCTTTTGCTTAGTTTGTGAGTTCAACATGTCACGTTATCACACTAGAAGCCGTTCTAGGCGCAACGAAACCGATCGTCACCGATCGAGCACAGCAAGTAGACACGATGGTCGAAGGAGATCTTCAAGAAGCAACGCTACTGTAAGCCGTGATATGCATGATGTGTTTAACGAATTTCGCTCGGTCTTCGACCCAGAGCTGTCCGACGCCATTTCTCTGCGAGCTCTAAGTGATTTGGACGAGCAACACAACGATCAGCAAAACGATCATCAGGATGAACATCGATATAACAACGAGGCGCCAGTTCGTGATGTGCAGGACGTCGTCGATCGTCGCGAGCAAGAAATGCCAGCGTGGGCAAGATCCCTCATCAGTGAGCAAGCCAAGGCTCTTTCTGGTCTGAAATCGGAGATTCGTTCTCTTAAGAGGAAGCGTGGTGGCGAGAATGACGGAGACTTCGAATGGAAGAAGAAGGGGAACAAGAGACAATTCGAGTTTAACCAGTCAGTTGAGGAGCAACTCGAAGGGATCGCCGTTTCTGGAACCTTGTTGGAGGCCCGAACCATCGCTGAAAAAGGTTTGTCTCTCATTAACGATCGTAATAAACTTATTAGGATTGCTGACAAGCACGGATGGGATGCCGCTAATAATTATGTCTGCGATCCTCTTGCGAAAGATGACGCGGATGACAAGAAGATTCGGAAGGCGGTGAAGGAGGCTGAGAGATCTAGAGAAAAGTCGAAAAAAGAGAGGGAGGCTAAGTCCAGAAGAGTGTCGCGGGCGAGAGCGTATGCTTTTCCCAGCTATGGCTCCAGCGGTCGTTTTGGCCAAACCATCCCCTCTGCTGTCGAGTCGCCATCGAGGGTTGTCATTGGCTCGAATGACAAGAAACTGTCTCAACCTCGTTGCTTTAGGTGCAACAAAGCTGGCCATTTTTCGCGTGATTGCGTTAATCCAGCCGACAATTCCAAATGACTATATGACTGTGGCACTGGTAATATTAGTTGTATCACTGAGGATTATGATAATGTAAATAAATGTGTTCAGGATTATGATTGTCTTGATTGCCTTGATATACCTTTCAGGTCTACCTGTGAACTTGACAAGGATTCCTCAGGTGAAGGGGTTCCGTGTGTACGAGGGCGCTTGAAGCGTAACATTGATTTTTGGATATCTATRGGAGCCTCTAATATGGTCTTGAATATTATCAACAATGGTTACTTTTTACCTTTTATTTCAGACCCTCACCCTGCCTTTTTCTCTAACCATCTCAGTGCTGTTCGGAATGCAGACTTTGTTGTGTCTGCTATCCAGGACCTAGTAAAAGCTGGCTCTGTCCTGGAAGTTAGTAAAAATGATGTTCATGTATGCAGCCCACTTGGGGTAGTTCCCAAAAAGAACAACAAACTTCGACTTATCCTTGATTTACGTTATGTAAATGATCATTTGCATGTAACTAAATTCAAATATGAGGACCTGTTGGTCGTGTCTCAGTTGGTGAACAAAGGTGATTGGTTTATTACGTTCGATCTTAAGAATGGTTATCATCACATCGACATAGCAACGGCACACCGCAAGTATCTTGGTTTTTCGTTCCTAATGAATGGTGTCTCTAAATATTTTATCTTTGCTTCTCTCCCTTTTGGCCTTTCTACAGCCCCCTTTGTGTTTACCAAAGTTCTTAGGCCCTTGGTCAAGTTTTGGCGTGGACAAGGTAAGCGTGCAGTCCTGTATATTGATGATGGGTTTGTATGTGCATCTTCCGAGCAGGCTGCCCTTGAAATTTCCCGGTCAATCAAAGAGGATCTGCTACGAAGTGGCCTCATGCTGAGTGCTGAGAAAAGTAACCTGGTTCCACACCAGGTTGGTGAGTATCTTGGGTTTATTGTTGACCTTACACAGGGTATTTTTTCAGTCCCTCAGCACAAGGTAAGCTCTCTAATGGCTAAACTCCAAGAAATCAAAGGTAATCGTTTTTTAATTTCTGCACGCAAGATTTCACAAKCAACTGGTACCATCATTTCCATGGGTCTTGCTCTTGGTCCTGTTGCAAGGCTGTTTACCCGGAGCCTTTATGCATTGCAAAACAGCGTGGAGTCCCTGAGCATCAAGGTGGCACTCTCAGATGCTGCCTTCAACGAGGTTCAGTTTTGGCTTGATAACTTCTCTGACCTGGTGGGTCAACCCATGTGGTATGCTTCTCCAAACATTGATGTTATTTCATACTCTGATGCTAGTAGTTCAGGCTGGGGGGGTTATATCGTCCAGCTTGGTAATCTTGTAGCTCGTGGCGACTGGGACACCGATGACAAATTACAGAGTTCTACTTATAGAGAGCTTAARGCAGTTAGGCTTGTTCTAGAGTCTTTTGCTTCCTCAATTCCATCAAAGGAGTGCAAGCATCGGTCTGATAACCAGGGGACCATTGCAATTTTGTCTTGTGGGAGTAATAGAGTTCACCTTCAGCAGGAAGCAACGAAGATCTATTCAGTCTGTAGACGTTATGGCATAAGGCTTCACCCTGAATGGGTTCCTAGACACCTCAACAACAAAGCTGACTACTGGTCAAGAGTAATTGAGACGGATGATTGGATGTTGAATCCAGTGTACTTTAGGAGTCTTGATGACATCTGGGGTCCTCATACAATTGACAGGTTTGCAAGCCTCAATTCTAGACAACTTCCTCGATTCTGTTCCAAGTGGTTATGCCCTGGCTGCGAGGGTGTTGATGCTTTTACCATGAGCTGGAAGTTTGAGAACAACTGGTTGGTTCCTCCTGTTTACCTGATTCCAAGGGTTCTCCGGCACATGGTTCACAACTCAGAGTATGGAACACTGATTGTACCTTATTGGCCTTCCGCTCCTTGGTGGCCCCTTCTTTACTGTGATGATGGCACTATCAGGGACTTTGTTGTCGCCTCTATGGACATCCCTGTTAATGCTCAAACATTTCTACCTGGCTCAGCTGAGAGTGACTTGTTTGGCCATGGTGTTCCACAGTGTCGAATCCTGGCCTTGAGAATCGTTTGCCAGTGACTGAACTTTCCTGTATTACAGTGTTAGCACCTGTCTACATTCTTGTGCCCTGAGTATCCCACAGATTTTGTGGAGGCTTTCTGCTATTACTCATGTGGCTCTGACTTGTTATGAGTMCCCCACATTGGTTGTGGTGCATCAGCTGCTTGTATCTATGGCCATGGCTTGCTATAAGTCCTCACATTGGTTGTGGAGCATCCATTGATCGCACCTGTGGCATTGCATCTGTAGCTGTTATAGCACTGGATTTGCTACATTAGGGAAGTTCTACAATTTGTTTTTTCTTTTGCATGTTTGTTTGATTGGGTGCACTTACTATGTCTTTTTTCTCTTGCATTTCAGGTTTGTGCAGTGCCAATTTAGGGGAGGGCAACTCACAGCACCCCCATCTAGCTTTATTGGCTGAAAGGCTTCCTAGTTTGGTTCTTTTCGACAGGGCTCCTTCAACGGTGTGCAAATACTTCAGGAGCTTCAAGAGGTGGCGAGCTTGGGCTGTGCACTATGGTCTATGTCCGTTACCAGCTTCTGGTTCAGATGTTGCCTTGTACCTGAGTGATCTTGTTCGTGGGGATACATCCCCTTCCCCCATTGTCTCTGCTGTTTATGGTATCTCTTGGGCGCATAAGAAAGCTTTGCTTCCTGATCCTTGTCAACACCCTCTAGTATTGCAGGTTTGTGATGCTAGTAAAAGGCTTCTGGGCCGTCCAGTTGTCAAAAAGGAAATTCTCGAAGTCCGACATGTCAAATCCATTGTGGATAAGTTTGCTCAGTTAGGAGCTAGTCTTTCAGACCTCCAAGTTGCCGTGCTCATTGTGGTAGGTTTTGCGGGTTTTCTTCGCTGGAGCGACCTTAGTGTCATCAAAGTGGAGGATGTGGTCTTCTATGACTCACACATGGATGTTGTGTTGCCAAAGCGTAAGAATGACCAGCGTAGAAGTGGTAGTGCTATTAGTATAGCAAGTACAGGGTCTGTATATTGTCCTGTCTCACTTACAAGGAGATTTATTTTACGTGCTGGTCTGCTATCCGGACCACTTTTTCGCGAGTGTGTATCTCGTGGGGTTGTTAAATCTTTGTCGTCAAAGGCTCTTAGTTATGCATCAGCCAGGTCCCAGGTCCTTTCTGCCTTCACTGCTATTGGTTTGGATGCAAAGAAGTTTGGGCTTCATAGCCTCAGAGCTGGAGGTGCTTCTGCGGCAGCCAGAGCTGGAATTCCAGGGAGGCTGATTTCCTCACATGGGGGCTGGAAGTCAGATGTCTCGCGCAATGGATACATCAAGGATTGCAAGGATTCAATTCTGGCAGTATCAAAGTCCTTGAAGCTGTAGCCGTTTTTCTATGCTTTCGCCTTGGTGTTTGTGGGCTTAGACCGCTCACCGCATACCTTGTGTCTGTTTTATGAACTATGGGACGTAAGAGTACAAGGAAATGTATTTCTCTTGTAACGGTTACGAACGTAGTGAGTGTGAGTGGAGAGAGAAATAATTTCCTTAGGGACGGAGGACTGGACACTAGTGCACGTGCTTGTATGCTAATTAGGATGTTGTTTATAAGGTCAAGTTGAAATTAATTCAATCATTGTGGTCTAAGTTCCTTTTGCTTAGTTTTCATAGGAGTGTGTGAGTTCTGTGTGATGGTATTTGTAATTTTAGGCTGTGTTTTTTGGAATAAAATGTTAT